GGGGGGGGGGGGGGGAGTTGTAAAGTTGTTAGGAAGTAAAAGATTTTACTTCAAGAAGTCGATCAGGACGATGATGTCGTAGCCGTTTTCCTCGCACGCGTACATCGCCTCGTGTTCGTTCAGGTAGAGGAAACGGATGTTCTCCCCGACAAGAGAACGGAGAAGCGTTGTCAGGTGCAAGTCGCGGATCTCGACGAAACCCGGTTCGAACGCCAACAAGTAGGGGAAGAAAAGCGCCATATTCTGAGGGGTCCCTTCCCAGGCGATGAACCAGTCGTGGTTGATGCGCCAGCCATTGCGGTTGATTAAAAACACGAACTCCAGGTAGCACAACATGAACTCCTTATTCAAGCGGTGGATCGCTAACGGAGTCACCTGGTCGCGCAAGATGGCAAAGTCAAGCGACGGGTCGGCCTCGTCCAAGATCGGTTCCTTCTGGCCGTCCTTAAGCAGCAAGATCTCAAACCCTTTGGTGCAGCCGATACACAACTTGGTCTTGAGGAACGAGATGGAGACGGGGTCCAGCAGGAACAGCACCTCTCTGATCTCGGTGCGTCTCAGCTTGTTCTTGCTGCGGTCAAACGGGTTGGTGGGCTCAAAGATGATGATCAGGTGCAGCGGCCCCACTTTAGCGCCACACACAAGCAACTTGCCGTCGCAGATACCCGTCTTGAAGAACAGCAACGGCAGCGCCAAGAGCTTACCCAGCCTCGTATTGCGGGCGTGGTCGAGCGAGTCGCAGCACGAAAGGTCGTACTCGAACAATTGTTTGTCGGCAAGCACCAAGAGCTTGCCGTACTCGACGAGCACCTCGATCTGGGTGACGTAGTTGCGCAGGATGACGATAGTGGGGTCACTGACGATTTTCTCGGTCGAGGTGGCCAGAATTTGCCGGACAGTCAGCAACCAGAGACCCAGATCAGTACCGTATAAAAGCTTCTTGCCGCCGTGGAAGGGGACGGCACAGTTGATCTTGTTCAGCCCGTAGAACTTGCGGGTCTCGTACTTCGAAAGGGTGAAGAAGTCGTGTTGTTCAATCAACTTCTTCTGTTGCTGGTAGATCTGCTGGAGGATCTGCAGTTGGATGGTGACGTCCTCAGCAAACAACGACACGTGCACTTGATTAGCGCCCAACCCTAAGAAGTTGATTTGGTACTTGGTCTGGCCACCACCGGTACCGAAATTCAGCGTTTCAATGCGGTTGCGGATCAGCGGGTCCAGCACCACCAGCTCGTCGACACGGTGGGCGAGGATCAGACGCGTCAGCGGGGCGTCGATGCCCAGATTGACAAACACCAAGCCCAAATACATCGGCTTTTCGTACACTTTGTGGTGTTCCCTCTTGTTGTGGATTTTGTGCTTGACAAGAAGCAACGCGTGCTCAAACAAGTACAAGTCGATGCGCTCGTTATCCCGCTTACGGTGCAACAGCGCCTGGTAGATGATGCGGTGGTGATACAGCAATTTGAAGTTCTTCTTCTCCAACGTCTGTTTGCCCAAAAGACGGTGCAACACCATGATTTTGTGTCTATCCGTCAGCTCACCCGTCTGGGTGTTGATCTTCAGCAAAAGCTTTTCGATTTCATCTTTGGCCCGAGTCAAATTCTTATAATCAGGCAGCAGTTCGTCGGTGTTTTTGATGATCCCTTGGAGCAAAAGCTGGTATCTAGCTGGTCTCTGGACCCCTTTGATTAAGAACGACAGCAAATCTTGTTTCCGCAGCTCAGGCTTCTTCTCAATCGCGTCTAAGAAGCGGGCGTATTTAGGGTTCACTTGTTGTTGGCGTTCGTGTTCAAACAGGGCAAACACTTTATTCCCCAGATAACGGACAAACGGGTCAAATAACTGGACGTATTCGAGGAACACGTCGGCGATGGTCAGGATCACTGGTTTCTGCTGCTGTTGGCGACGGGTGAGTGCTTCTGAGAACTGCTTTGCGAGGCGCAATAAGTCACCGACACCTCCGAAAACGGTATGGATGAACGTCTCCCGCTGGTGTTCGGGGATAATGTTATTAGCCGGGTTGCGCAACGGCATGATGTAGAAGTCGGTCATGAACTCCAAGTCCTTAACGTAGTCTCTCTCGGTATAGATAAACTCGTAGATGAGCTCTTGGCGCATTTTCTCTTGCTTTGAAAGCAGATCAAGCACCAGTTGCGGCACCGTCTCGTGCCACAACGTCTTATTCTCCTCGGTCTCGCCCAACAGCAACCGCAGCACGGCGCGGCGCAAACCACCGGCGGGTTTCATGTTGAGACGGGCCTGTTGTTCCAAACGACGAGGACAGGCAATCGAGTAACAGAGAGCGTTACGTGTACAGGTAGGCGAGTAGCACTCGGTCAAAATCGTGAACACCCCGTTGGACGAGTCCAGCTGGGGGGGAGCCAGCGGGTCGTCGGTATAGGTGCGGTTAAACGCGTACACTTCGTGGACCAGGTCGCGCAACCGGTGCTGGTAGGTGACGTCGTGGAAGAGCTTCTGGGCGTCCAACAGGCGGCCGAGCAAAAGCGCCAAATTGCGGTCGTTGGTGCGGATAAGCCGGCAGATAATGTCCACCGCCATCTTACCGGTAAACGTGTCGTGGTACTCCAAACCATCTTTAGTGTTAACCGTCAAGATAATCGCCTCTCTAAACTGTCGGGCAACAGCAGAAAGCATCGCCGGGTACACTGGAGGACGTCTCAGCTGTTGGCGCGGCGACGGCGGCGCCACGGTGGATGACAGCGAGAGCGCCGCCAACAGCGTCGTCGACGGTAACAGCGTCGCCAGCGCCTTTTTCGTCAGCAACAGCGAGAGCTTGGAGATCGAGGTGAACGACCGAGATTTCAGCGAGAGCAGGAAGGTGTGGCCGTCCTTCAGTCTCAGCAGCAGGTGCAGCGCCTGGCGCGGCGGCGGCGCCTGCGCTTGGTTCGACGCAGCGGCGGCGGCGCTGGCGGCATAGTTCGCCTGGCTATTTTGCGCCGGGTACGTCGTCGTCGGCGAGTACGGCTGGTTGTATTGCTGGTGTTGTTGTTGTTGTTGTTGTTGAGGTAAAGGTGGCGCCGGCGCCATTCGCGGGCGCCACAGCGCCAGGTTCAACAGTCGGGTGCGCGGGTTTGACGCGGGCATTTGCGGTTGGGGAGGAGGGAGCGCCGTCTGCCCGGGGAAAGTGGGCATCTGGGGCGACAGCGCGATCCGCCGTTGGTGGTCGGCCCCGCCATAGGGACGTGTGGGCGGTGGTCCTTGGCGCGGCGGCGGCGGCGCCCGCCGCGGCGACGAGTGCGCCAGCAGCAGCGCCGGCGCCTGGCCTGCGCCCACGGGGTACGGCGGCCGGTTAAATTGAAGCTGGTACAGCGAGTGGGTCAGCGCCAACGAGTTGAGCCGCCCCAGGTCCGCCAGCTGCAGCAGCATCAGCTGCGACCGCCCCGGGTCCAATGTCGGCGTCGTCGGCGTCGCCACCGGGTAGCCAGGGCCCGGGTAGGGTTGCGGCACTTGTTGCGCTGACGGCTGGCGGGAGCGAGGGTACGGCGGCTGGCGGGATGCGCCCGTCGGGTACGGCGTGAACGAGCTGTCGCTGTCATGTCTCAGCTGGTGGTACGGCTGCGGCACCGGGGGCGCCCCTGGCGGCGCCGGCGCTGATGGCGCCGTAGTATTAGTCTGAGTAGTATTGGTCTGGGTGGTGCCGTTGGGCCAGGGGTCGGCGCCGTCCACGGAGCTGTCGAAGTCTTCGAAAAACAGCTGGGGTAGCAAGTGCGGCGGGAGGTTCACCGGCTTGTGGGGACTGGTGTACCCCGGGGAGTTGTGGTACAGCATTGGGCACGACCTTGAGGGCACACGGTGGAGGGTTCCCGGCAAGCGGTGACTTTTTTTTGACGAGCGCGCGTGAGGGGCGGGGGCGACCCGGAATTTGAGAGTGAAGGGGGGCGAAATCGAGTGAATAATCAGTAATTACTCGACTCTAATAGGATGAAAGTGTTTATAGGTAATTTGTCTCTTCTATTTCTTTATTTTCCGTTCCTTTTGTCGGGTGTAGGCCTCGTGACTCTGCACTTATGGGCTAATTTGGCTGGCGGTGGTGGGTCGCGGCTGGGGCGTAGCTCGCTCTGTCTCTCGGTCCCAGCCAGCGCAAAGGAATTTTCTCGGTGCGACTCTAAGGCGGAGAAGGCTGAGAAAAAAAAAAAAAACAGTGGGGAGGCGTGTGCTACGTTTGTGCCCAGTAAACTATTTTTGGTACAAATAAAATTCTTAACAAAAATTATTGCGACGCTAGTAAATCTTGTAAAAGAACGGAGGTGTTGTTTTTTTTCCCAGTAGGACCTCGGTTGCGAGGCTGACGAGCCGTTGGTTGCAAATTGCTACTGGCAAGTGCGCCTCGGGTGTAGTTGCTCCGGAATGGCGTGGTCGGTGAACCGTGGAATTGTGGGCGGGACCACAATCTGTTGCTAAAGTGTGTTTGATATTTTGTATTCTATTACATAATTACTTGGAGTGGGTTAAGGTGAGGATTTTGTCCTTGATCACGTATTTCGGTTTGGCAGTGGGGACCACCCACGACACCACCCAGTCAAAGCCATTAAGCAGTTCGTGGCCAGCCCAATCGATGATATCGACCACCAGTTGGATGGGCTCGGTACACCTGATCGCAGTGACGTAAGGTTTGACCGTGGCCTTTACCGATTTCACCGCCGGTTGTTTGTGGACAGGTTCGTAGACAACAATAACCACCGGGTACAGCTTCAAATGGGAAGTGAGTTTAGACATAATGGCTGTGGGTAGAATTACAATCATTATATAGCCAGTAGTGGTCTGGAAACCTCGAGTATTTGTGCAGAGTATAGCCTTACGGCGTAGCCTTCAGTGTAGCGTAAGCATGAGTTGCACAGTGGATCCAATTGGTGATGGATTTGATGGCTGGTGCTATTTTTTGAAGATCGAGGACATAACAATGGACCCTGTCAATTAGTCAGTGGAACAATGGAGGGATATAATTTGAGCTGATTCACAAAAGCATCCTCCAAGAAAACGAAGCTTTCAAATTGAACGTTACAATAAAAAACGCTCGAATGTCTAAATCAGCGTGAATTGACCTTGAGTATATATAAATTCGATTCAATCAAGCTTTCTTTTCTACCCCTGGTCTACGGGTATTTTTCATTAATCTAAAAGCACACCCAACATCTAGATTTCCACCAATCTCACGGTTAGAAATGCCAAACTATATTTCTAAGTCAATTAATGACAGTAACATATACTTGCAAATCAGTTTTCAGCTCGTCTTTAGTATCTTAATCAGTTATAGATCATATCGCTGGCTGCCACAAATCTCGCACTTTTATCGGTCGGCGCACCAACCAAGTCACCATGCCCGCGTACCACTCGACGTTCGACACCCTGGAGGGGGCGACCCAGACCATCGGCAACCTCGTGTTGCTCCCCATCCACACCCAATACAGGGGGCCGGCATACCCGCCCGACCAGGAGTACGACATCGTCGAGGAAACCCTCGACTTGTTCCGCGCCAACTCGTTCTTCCGCAACTTCGAAATCAAGGGCGGCGCCGACCGCTTGCTCATCTACGGCATCTTGTTTGTCCTGCAGTGCCTCTCGAAATTGAACAAGACGACGACGGTGAGAGACGCCCACCGCACGTTGAACTCGTTGGCCGTCGACCTGTTCGCGTTGCCGGGCGACATCGGCTTCCCGCTCAATTCGATGTACACGCCGCCAAAGACGAAGAACGAGGCCGACATGTTGAGAGCATACTTGCAGCAGTTCCGCCAAGAGGTGGCTGACCGCTTGATCAAGCGTGTCTACGGCAATGACGATTTACCGTCAAAGCACTGGTTGGCGTTCACCAAGAGACGGTTCATGAACAAGTCGTTATAGACCCCCTACAAAATACGTACGAGCAATGATATATATTACAACTGTCTAGGACCGGCCTACACTGGTACACACCCCTTTAAACCGCTTACATCTGGCTGCGGAACTTGCGGAAGTTGTCCCAGGCAAACTCGTTGGGGTTGGGAATCTTGACGATCTCGACGCGGCTGGCGAGCTCGGGATTGTGCAAGTCCGGCACCGTGACCACGTACAGCACGGGACGCTTCACGTCGGGGTTAGGCCCCTGGTCGTCGCGCTTATCCGCCGGTAACGTGTGGACGATCTCGGGGAATACCAGCGGCATCGTAAACTTGTTGAGGATCTCAAGGTGCAGCGAGTGGAGCGGTTTCGGAGGCGGCGTAGGCAACAGCGGCACGAATCTCTGTTCTTGAAATTCGGGACCGTCGAGGGCAGCGTCGAATTGTTGGCGCATTCTTTCGTGGCGACGACGCGATACTTCGTAATTGAACCGTTGTACTCTTTCTTGTTCGGCACGGTCACGATTGATGCGGGCCTGTTCCTTTTGTCTCCACTCCTCAACTTGTTTAGCGTAAGCTTTACGTGACTCAAACTCGTCGCGGTACACTTTCATGGCGTAGATCTGTTCGAAGTCGATCTTCTTAAACCGGTAGTACAGCTCCATTGTTTGTCTCAGCACCTCACGGTACAGATTAAGCAACACGTTGAACTGTAACAGATTGTGTAAGTGTTCAATGTTTAAAAAATCGGCGACGTAGTCTTGATGAGACGCCAATTTGGCTTCAACGGCGGCCTTATTATAGCGAGGATGGACTAACCCTTTAATATTTTGGTTAGCTCGGTTGGCTGGTGGTTTAGCCACGCGGTGAGTGCGTTTCACAGGACGTACCAGCATCGGGATCTTAGTGATTCGAGTCACCACAGATTGGTCCTTATAGGCACTGGAAGGGCCCCGGTTTGCTCTCAGATAAAAGTATTTCAGTAACGTGTCACGGTCACCAGTATCAATTGCCAATTGTTGAAGTTGTTTCGAAGTGGGAGTATCGGTATCGGCACCGTTTTGAGGCAGAGGCAACTTAGGACCAAACTTACTGGGTTTCTCCGGGTAGTAAGCGGCCACTTTACACAAGTGGCCAACATTAAACTCGTGGAAGTAGCCTTGGCCCATTAATACCAGCTCAGTAAAGTCGAGAGAGTTAGGGTCAATACCAAGGTTTTCCCGCTTTTTGCGACGCGTAACCAGGGCTGGACTCAGCGAATCAACACCGATTGATTGGTCAAGCACCGCGTCCAAGTCAGGGTTATCGTAGAGACCAGGGTTATCTTGAAGCACAAGTTCACGATCATGAAAGCTCACCATCTTCGAGGGAGGAATAAACTTATAGAGCCCTCTTTCCTTATAAAATTGAAGCTTAGAAAGCTCAGTAAGACAATTATAGTTAGCAAACGTCGGCTTGATCGGGGTAACCAACCCTGGAAACACTTGGGCCGCGGTAACCACTTCCACCTTCAGCTCCTTTGTTGGACCACTAGGCAACGGTGGCGCTTCAGTATCTTCACTACGGCCACTGGGATTAGTAGTGAACACTTCTGAGTTGGTAATTGACCCATAAATCTTGTTTAAGGGAACATAATACCATTGAGGAGCTTGTTGTTTCTTCTTCAAAAGTTTATGCGCCACAAGCTGTTCATTCAACTCGGGAGTGGTCTGAGCGAAATCGTTGAGGGTAAGCGGACTGCGTTTGACCAATTTAGCAATCAATTGGTACGACAGCGGGAAGTTCCACACTTTGGCGAGGTGGTGGACAAGCACGTTTTTCTCACCGTCAACGGTGAATGTCGGCACCACAAGCTCACCAACGTTTACGGAAGTGTCGGTGTCCATGGAACCATCGGCAAACTCAAGCAGAGCCCGCTGGCTGCCTTGGGGCCGGTACTTGCTCTTGGGAATGGTCACCTCCATGGTTCGAGTGGGAGTGTGGAAAAGCGTTTCGCGTCGCGAAAAAATTAACGCGACAAGAGGCCTAAACAAGGGTATGATGGAGAGAGAGGTTTGCTGGAGATGAATGTTGTGTTTTGATTTTATGATTGAGAGACTGAAGTGATTGTTAAAGTGTTTTTACGGTTTCTGTGATCATGCAATGGCTTATAAATGGAAACAGAGGGTGTTAGTGTGGAATCACTACATTAAAGTTGAGAACAGACACAGCTGATGAGTACGCCGTGCTTTATGATTTTTTGCATTTTGGATTACGCTATCATGAGGGGAGTTATCGCATTTCTATCCATGGCTTGCCGTTCAGCATTTTGATGATTACAGTTGAGTTATAGTGTCTGATAGCCGTTCACCAAACTCAAATCAACTGAGGAAACCGAAAGCCGGTCGCTGCGGAATTAAGCTTTACATGATCATCTAAGGGGTAGGGGGTTTTAGGAAGGTATACGTGCCATCATCAAAATCACTGAGACTCCTTTGGCAATCGGCAAATTCTGTACACCAAGTCCTCCCCCGCTTTGAACAGAGCTATCATGGTTGGACCACCCACTGCTGCCGCAATCAACCGCTTGCGGGAGCTACTCGGGACTTGAATCGCTTGTTTGTGCAGCTTCCGACTCGTGACGACAGGGACCGTGTCGTTGACTTTCTCCTTGACTTTTATGACATGGATGATCAACACTACGCTGAGAACGTTCTCATCGACGAGACGCTCCAGCGTCCAATTCTTACTATCCTTGCTAACGCCGCTGACGACGCTCGCCAAAAGTTGACGGCATATGTGCAAACGACAGGCGAATGCGCCACTGCTCTGATTGTTGAACTCAATGCGATCTTCACTGATTTTAAACAAGCAATGAACAGAGAAAGCACCCACGAAGGCAGATTGCGCCTAGAAGCCGAGGCTGAAGCCAAAGGGGCGATCGTCACAAATAACTTTGACGCCGACCACCGCGAGAAGGTGTCTCGTTTGGTAACGCTCTCTGCTGAAGAAGAAGCCCACTTCCATCGGGAGTATGATATCTGGCAGCGTACGCAGAGCTACCTTTATGAAAAACACCGTGAAAAATTGGCACAATTCGCCGCCGAAACGTTTGCCGGTACCAATGTTATCGCGGTGAGATTCCCGCCGTTTGCCTAAGTGTTTGAAGTGAAGTCGGAAACTGACCCCGCTGGCTTCCGCGACGTGTTGTTATGGTTGGAGTGAAGCTCCAGTAAGTATCAATTGAAAGGTTGTAATTCTTTGGTATATTTAAACCACTTCGGTCTGGTAGGAATCGGTAAGCCATAAACTGCAAAGGCGACCATAAGTCACTTGGGGATTATGTCAAACCTGTCAACCGTGCCCTTGTGGTCAAACCTGTCAACCTAGCCCTTGTGGTTTTTATTTTGGATTTGCAGCGATTTCCTGTTCAACTTCTCACTATTTTTCACAAGGTCTTTCCTTTGTCGGCTTTTACCGTTTTTTGCACAGAAAATTTCAAGTAAAACAAATACAAAGCAAGAAATCAAAAAGACTAAACCAGGTATGACTTAGATTATTTCTACTTTTGAATTATCCACTTGTTCTGCTTGAAATTTCACTACATTTGACCCGGACACTAACATCCAGAACCACTCCTTTTAAACCCACCAGTGCTAAACCCAAATTACTAGACCACAAACTACCACTACAATGATTGCTATTCATTTACACCCACCGTTGATTCCACCACAGGGGGCACCACTTTACCGCCCCTTTCACCTTCGCCTCCACAACCTCGGCACGATTCACTTTTCGCGGGGGGGATATCGGCATCGGCCGCAACCGTCTCCTCCTCTTTCCTTTAGGTGGTGGCCTCCCCTCCTTTCGTATACCTACGCCATTAACTCCGATCGCCGAGGAAGCACCGAAGCCGAGGATCGAAGATAACCGTTAGCCCCCGGCAGCCGCAGTCGCCGTCGCACCCCATCCCCCTTGCCTCTCGCGGTAGCCCCCCTCCGCCTGCCCCGCCACACTCGCACCGCGCTAACAAATTTCCCCCGCAAAAACGATAACAGACTACCACACATACGTAAAAGAGTACCGCAGTAAAGGCAATAAATAGACTGAAACATCTACCGTAGACTATCCTTAACGTCTACGCACTCGGCCAAGGCTAAAATCGCATACGTCTCGCCACTCTCCGCATTTCGGAGTGGCTCGGTACCCACTCCGACTTCACATGCCGATCCCCCCACAGGCACATGAAGCCCGCTCGCACATAAAACCAAAGGCGCGGCCGCCCCTGGTCGACACCCATATCACAACTACCACCCGCAGTATCAATATGTCCGTTGAGGAAGACATCACCTACGAAGTGAGAGAGCGCACCACCATCATCACGTTGCGCCTCCCCAAGAAGCTCAACGCGTTGACGAGTGCCCACTACCTCCGCCTCGGGAAATTGGTCCAGGAAGCCGATGAAGAAGAGGACACTGTGGCCACGATTATCCAGCTGACGGGTAAATACTTTTCGGCGGGCGCCAACTTTGCCGATAAGGAAATCATGCTTGCCAAGCCCGAGGAGCTTTTCAGCCACGAGTTCTGGTTCCAGCGGTTTGTGGGGCGTAACGTGTGGATCACCGACCTTTTCCACAACCACACCAAGATCTTGGTCGCCGCCTTGAACGGGCCGGTGATTGGGTTGTCGGCTGCCTTGGTGGCGTTGTGTGACTTGGTCTACGTCAAGGACTTGTCGCTGACCTACTTGTTGGCGCCCTTCTCCAACTTGGGCTTGGTGTGTGAAGGGGCGCTGTCGCTGACGTTGTTCTTGAGATTGGGGTGGCTGGTGTCGTCGGAGGCGTTGTTGTTGGCCAAGCCTATCTACGGGAAGACGTTGGACAAGGTGGGGTTGGTCAACGAGCTGTTTGACGGCCAATTCGCCACCACCGAAGAGTTTAACGCTCACATTGAAAAGAAGTTGTATGAAGCGTACAAGGACTTGCACGAACCCTCGATCTTCTTCAACAAGCAATTGCTCAAGGCTAACCGTGACGAGTTGATCAACTCGGCCAACTCGAGAGAAGTGATCAAGGGGTTAAACAAGTGGATCGAAGGTGTCCCGCAACTGAGATTCGCCCAATTGGCGCAAAAGGACGTCCAACACAAGTTGTAAGCTATAGGATTATACGCGGCGAGTGTCGCCATTTCTAGACATAAAGTCTTGACCGAATTGTAGGAGTGACCCTGACCGATTGGCGGCAATCAGCCCTGGATTTTATCTACCGATTTACACTGATGAATTAATTGATAAAATCTTCGGTGACTTGTTCTACTGCGTCGAGCTTTGATCATGGTGATCTCCCCATATTTCAGTTTCATAATGCTCATAGTTTTTCGTAAAAATGGCGATATCGTACGATGATCGGCAATGTATAGCTTAAACGAAAAGCTAAAGATATCATCGACAGCATCAGCAATGCTCTCAATTAGTCAATTGCGTTCAATTGTCGATTCAAATTGATTGATGCCATTCTCGCAACCACGGTGCCCACCAATTGGACCTTGGAAACACCGCATAGGTAGCAATCAAGCCCCTTCACCAATTAACCGTTGAAATCACCAAAAAATGACACCATTGGTCTATACTTAGCCCCGACGACCCCTTCCACGTACATCACCACCCACTCCCTCGCAACCACCACTATATATAATGCTCTATGACCATCACTGGTGATTTTTGTAGTGTAATAGGAGATGAGGGTGTGGGTATGGTTAACTCCGGCGATGGCGGTGCCCATCGTCTCCTATCCCATGGCGGCGACGTGTGACGTCTACGACCTTGCCATGTGCGGCCCTCAGCCCTGCCCCACCTGGCTGAATGTGCAACTAGCCAAATACAACCAGGCGTGTCTCTGGCGGCGGCGCGGGTGGTGCCAGCCCAGTGCCAATAGCGACCTCGTCCGCTGTTAACCCATCTATTTAGTGCTAGCATGTTTAATTTAATTCCGAATAGAAGGTGTCAAGTCCGCTTTATTTCTTTTTTTCTTTTTCCGCTTATCACGAGAGATATGTTCTGTGACAGCCTGGCTATGATACCCCACTATTCAGAGGACTCGCCAGGGCCCCAACCTCCATAAGGCACGAGGCATCTCGGGGAATAGGGGCGCCATTGTCCGAAATAGGGAAGCGTGGGGGTGAGACACCGTTTTCTTGGTTGCTCCACTCTCCACAAAACGCCGTCCCCCTAGGCGTTCTCAGAGGCTTAGCCCGCCCCCGGCAGCACCCGCTGCGGACTAGTCGATGCTTGGCTCGGCTCCGGAGGTCATTTTTCCGTTTTTGCTTCCGTACTACACAGCACTAGTCTCCATGGAAGGTTACATTATAATTACCCGGTGCCGCAAAAAGAAAAAAATGCCACCCTGCGGCGCCGGGTGAATTATGTGTCGAAAATTCCACCGTGCGCCAAAAGCGCCGCAAATACGACGTGCCAAATGTAGAGGGGAACCTAGAGAAGTAGCCTACGAATAATGGGATTGTTATTGGTAGACAATGAGTAGCCTGGTGCGTCGGGGGAATTATCGGGACACCGCTCCCTCCCCTGCTATCACCACACTACCCAGGCGGTTAATTTTTCCGAGACTATCCGCGTCCACAGCAAGCAGGCGGCGGCAGCGACCGCCCCCCCACCGCTATTGTTCGCAAATTATTTATTTCGGTGACCACGGTAATTTTCGGAAAAACCTCATCTCCAGCGCCGCCTGGATTTAAACTCCGCCAAACTGAAAAAAAATGAGTATCGTTTACTAGGATATCGTATATCGTAATGCTGAGCCCGCCAGGGGATGAAAGAATGCTAGATGGAGAATGCTCTACTCACTGAGACCGGCCCGGTGAAACACTTCGGCGCGCACCTCGTCCCACAACTTCTTCTTGACGTCCTTGGCGACCTTGTCGCCGCGGGCCTTCGCCTGCAGCTTTAGGCGGGCCAATTTAACCTTATACTCGTGCAGCGTCAGCGCCGCCGCCGCGAGGTTGATGAGGTAGTTGCGCACGGCGATCTCCTTGTAGGTGTGCGCCAACGCCGGGTGGGTGTTGTTGAACAGCAGCGTCTGCTGGATCTGGAGGAGGCGCAGCTGCTTCACCAGCACCTCGGCGACGTTCTTGCGGAAGACGTCGTCGAGGTCGTGCTCCTTGTAGATGTTCAGCGAGTAGAGGGTGATGATGAGGTCGTGGTCGCTGATGGTGGGCGAAAGAAGGACAATGTGGCACTGGCGCGCCAAGTCGCCGACAAGCTGGGGGAGCGTCAGCGAGTAGCTGAAGTCGGGGGTCAGCGTCACCATCGGCAAGTGGGTGAGCATCAATTTGCACCGGGTGGCATTCAAGTTCCAATCAATGAACATTTCCTGGTGCTGGTACTGGAGACCGCTCCCTAGCGAAATGTGGGCCATTTCTTTGCTCGAGGCGGCGTCGCCACTGAAATGGGTCTCGTGGAGGGTGATATCGTTGACTAATTGTTCGACGGTGATCAGCACCGCCTCCTGGTCCTCGGGGATCGTCGCCGTCAGCAGCGAGTAGATCAGCGGCGCCAGCCGGACCAGGCGCTTCGCCAGCAGGAAAATCAGCAGCGCCAGCAGCCGGAACAGCAGCGGGTTGTAGTAGGGGGCCGGCGCCAGCCTCACCAGCAGCACCTCGTGGCCAGCGCCGCCGAGCGGCAACTGCTGGTAGATGGCGTGCCGGGCCAGGTCCTTAAAGTGTGCCGGCGTCTGTGAGCTGGGACGGTTCATCTTGGAGTTAGCGTCTCAACGGGCACAGGCTCAAACAGAACAAGTCGCTAAGAGGGGGGGTAGGTGGTGATCGGCAACCTTTTTTATGGAAATGGCGTTCGGATAAATAGGAGGAAAAAAGCGGGCCCGGTGCGCCTGCAGGACGGGGCACCCGCCGTGACAAATACGGATTATATAAGGCACGGAAAATATGGCAACAATGGCCATAAGAACAAGAATGTACTACCATGAGAATCTAACGAATCGATTAGTACCCTTGAAACATTAAAAAACCTGGTAATTTGGCGATTCATCGTTGCTATTTGGGGTGTTTCCCGGGGGGCTACCCCGGACTGCGGCGCACAATATCTTTAAGGACATTATTCTGCTTTTGTCTCTGTGCAGGACGGGTCATGGTCTTCCCGCGAAGCAAAAAGGAATTTTCGCAGTGGCTCCGGGGTGAGCGTCCGAAGCGACAGCGCAAACCCAGCGAAGAGAAAAAAAAAAAAAGCAACGCGCCA